CAAGTATCATATGATCTCACTGATATGAGGAAGTTGAGAAACAAGACAGAGGATCATAGGGGAAGGGAGGGAAAAATGAAACAAGACAAAACCAGAGAGGGAGACAAACCATAAGAGACTCTTAATCTTGGGAAACAAACTAAGGGTTGCTGGAGTGGAGGTGGGTGGGAGGGATGAGGTGGCTGGGTGGTGGACATTGGGGAGCGTATGTGATATGGTGAGTGCTGTGAATTGTGTAAGACTGATGAATCACAGACCTGTACCCCTGAAACAAATAATACATTATATGTTAATTAATTTAATTTAATTTAATTTAAAAAATAAAGTAGATTTCATTTTTTTAAAGTAATCTCTACACCCAAGGGGTGTAGGTAAAGGGCCTACGTGGGGCTCAAACGTACAACCCCAGGATCAACAATCGCACGCTCTACCAACTGAGCCAACGAGGCACCCCTCAAAATAAAAACTTTAAATTAAAATAATATCTAAGAAATACATATAGCTAAATACATAGATGCTCATTATTCACATTTCTACTTGTGATTGGAGGGGTGGAGAACAAAAGTCAAAGAAGCTTGGCGTGTGTTAAATGCTACTTACCCAGATACCTCTTCATGCTTTTTTCAAAGTCACTTGACACTTCATTTTTGAGACTTTTCATGAGTTCTTCTCTTTCTTTCCCTTCCTTTAAAGACTCAGGTATCAGCATTAACATGTGATCCAGCCATTCCTGCTGAATAGGTACTATAGGACTGCTTTCTACACATTGCTTCATATAAATATAGTTGAACTGAGAATATAATAAGAAAAAATAAAGTGTTCTAAATGGTGTAGAATTTCAGCATAACTCCTGAGCTCTGTCTATTCAAGACAACATTTTTTTCAGAATAGATGTATTCTGAAAAATAACATGTTTTCAGAATAAAAACATTTTACCCAAAAGTATGACCTACAAAGAAACCATTTTTTAAGTGCTCAGTTTATATTTATTGAATGAATAAGAATTGGAAATTGGGACCAAAGAGTGGGCTAGGGAAGCTGGGTGTGCCCACGTATTATCCACTCAAACACTGAAATATTTAGCATTAATCCATTTGAAATGGATTTCCAAATGAAACCAGAAGAAACAGAGAGGGGCTCCAATACAGCATACCCAAGTGGTGGCGCAGAAACAGAACCGATTAGAATTTAATCTGGAGGGGGGCATCTGAGTAGAGTAAGAACCAACTGGTCACCTCCAGGATAGTGTGAGATAATCACAAAAACAAGTTGATTTAGGCACACCAGAGCCTCAAGCAGGAAAGGACCCTGGTAGGGAATGGAGGGCCTGGAGTGGTGGACCAAACAGAAGTTCATAGCCTCAAAGGATTCAAATAGGGAAACCTAAAGAGTAAGAGGAATTGGGAAGAGGAGAAAGGGATTATTTACAACCTTTATGTTGGGCAAAGGGCTCTAAGCAATATAGACCTCTATTTCTGAAGCACATCAACAATATACAGCAGGTGTCCCTGCATTTCATGTCACTGTTACATGGCTAACCTGTGATCACAACGGCTCTGTGTCCTGGATGAAAACAGTCAGGGCTGGAGGAGGGAGCCCTGCCAGGGAAGTGAAGGCAGGGTGGCAAGTCTAGAGGTTCTTCCCACTGGACCCATATGTGGTAGCAGCCAAAATGAATTTCTAGTAGGTGAAATGTCATATACTTCATAAAAGGGGCTTTGTAGATGAAGCATGAGTGAACTAGATACAGAAGGCAATCCCTCAACTTTTTTTTTTTTTTTTAAAGATTTTATTTATTTATTTGAGACAGAGAATGAGAGGGAGGAGGGTCAGAGGGAGAAGCAGACTCCCTGCCGAGCAGGGAGCCCGATGCGGGACTCGATCCCGGGACTCCAGGATCATGACCTGAGCCGAAGGCAGTCGCTTAACCAACTGAGCCACCCAGGCGCCCAATCCCTCAACTTTTAATACATAGAAGAATAAATCATACTCTCTGGAGCCCTCATGTATGAACTATAAATTCACTGGAGGTCAGGTGTCTGGGCAGGAAAACATTTTGCTCTGTCTTTTCAAAGAAACCACTTTATATTTTTCTTTGTTTTTGATAAGTTCTTGTCAAATTAATGTTCTTTGTATACTTTTCATTTTCTCAAGGCAAAACAAAGATCCTTTGTTTAACTTATTATTCCTTCATTCAACAAATATTAATTCAATGAATATTCATTGTTCCAGTAAACAAAGACAAAACCCCTGCTCTCTTGGAGATTATATTCTGGTACAATAGCAGCATAATTTTATAAATTCTCCCGTAACAATAAGTAATCTGACAAAAATAGACAAGTACAAGTAGAAAGACAATACTTAATCTTGTTTACCAAGATATTTTAACATGAAAATTTAAGTTTGTCTCAAAATTAATTTAATGTAATCCCAATAAAAATATCTGCATACATTTTTATAGAACTAGACTTATTGAGCCTAAAGTTCATGTGGAAAAATAAACATGTGAGAATCGCCAAGAAATCCCTGAGAAAGAATATCTACAAGGGAGGACTAGCCCTAGGAAACATTAAAACATACTATAAAGTCTCTCTAATTAAAACAGTGTGGAACAGGAGCCTGGATAGATGGACTAGCAGAAAAAAAAAAATGAAAGTCCAGAAATAGGCCCAGTATGTAGGAAAATTTAGCATATGATAAATGTGGTATCTCAAGATGAATATTTTAAAAATAGTTCTGGGACAACTGGCTAGCCATTTGGAAAAAAAGAAATTTAATCCATACCTTCCACCATACACAAGAGTAAATTCCAAATACATCAAGAATTTAAATTAAACAATAAAACTACACAAGGACAAAAAAATGGATAAATTCTGCTATAATTGAGGGTAGAGGAAAACTTTCTAGCTATGATTCAAGTTCCAGACACAAAACAAAAAAACAAAACAAAACAAAAAAAACGACTGACAAATTCTGACTACATAAAAATTAAAATGTTTACATGGCAAAACAAGTCACAATAAAAATGATCAAAAGACAACTGACAATCTGGGACAAAAGATTTGCAACGTATATCTCAAAGTATAAAGAATGCTTAAAAATGTAAGGGATAGATGAAATTTGAGGACATTATGCTGAATGAAATAAGCCAATGACAAAAAATAAATATTATATAATTCCACTTATATGAGGTATCTAGAGTAATCTAATTCATAGAAATAGACAATAGAATGGTAGTTGCCAGGGACTTAGGGAAGAGAGAAATGGGGAGTTGTTTAGTGAGTATTCAGTTTCAGTTTTGCAAGATGAAAAGTTCTAGAGATTGGTTGTGCAACTATGTGAAGAAACACCACTGAATTGTACACTGAAAAATGGTTAAGATGGGGGCGCCTGGATGGCTCAGTCCGTTGAGCATCCAACTCTTTGTTTCAGCTCAGGTCATGATCTCAGGGTCATGGGATCAAGCCCCGTGTCGGACTCCATGCTCAGCAGGGAGTCTGCTTGAGATTCTCTCTCTCCCTCTCCTTCTGCCCCTCCCCCCCTGCTCGTGCACGCTCTCTCTCAAATAAATAAATATTTTTTAAAAATAAATTTTAAAAAATGGTTAAAATGGTAAATTTTATGTTGCATTTTACTAGATTTTAATTTCAGGGAAAATAAGACCAAAACCCAATAGAAAAATAGGGAGAAAATATGAACCAACATTTTACAATAAAAATTTTATAAAAATGGTCCTTAATTCTATGAAAAATATTTAATCCTATCATAATTTTAAAAAGCATACTTAAACTACCCTGAGATACTATTTGTCACCTATCAGACTGATAAAAAGTAAAAAATATGACCCCCACATTCTGTGGTGAGACTATGGGGAAGAAGTACTCCCACAAATTGCAAGTAGGAATGTGAATTGACACAATCCTTTTGGAGAGAAATTTTGCGATATCTACCAAAACTGCATATTGACCCAGCAGCCCAACTTCCAGAAATTGAGAATATACCTCCAATACAAAAACACACATACAAGGCAATTCATGGCAGCAAAATACTGGAAACATTTGAGAGTGACCAAATAAATTATTATACATCCACACATTGATGTTCTGTGCAGCAGTGAAAAAGAATGAGGAAATCAAATCAACACATTGTACACCTTAAACTTACACAATGTCATATGTCAATTCTATCTCAAGAAAACTAAGAAAAAAGAGTGAAGATCATCTCTATAAACTGATATAGAGTAAATTCTAGGTATGTTGTTAAAATGCAAAAGAATATTTAAATTATGATACATTTTATATAAGATAAAAGGGGAAATACAAAAATAAATCTCTTCCTTTATGAAAAATTAAACATAGGAAGGATAAACCAGAAATTAATGAGACTGGTTATTTAAAGGGAGTGGGTTTGGGAGATGAGTGATTCCAAGGTCAGTCACTTAAGCATCTGCCTTAGGCTCAGGTCATGATCCTAGGGTCCTGGGATTGAGCACTGTGTCGGGCTCCCTGCTCAGTGAGGATTCTGCTTCTGCCTCACCCCACCGTTCTTGTGCTCTCTCTCTCTCTCAAATAAATAAATAAAATCTGGGGCACCTGGGTGGCTCAGTCATTAAGTGGCTGCCTTTGGCTCAGGTCATGATCCCAGGGTCCTGGGATTGAGCCCCACATTGGGCTCCCTGCTCGGCGGGAAGCCTGCTTCTCCCTCTCCCACTCC